AGTATTTTTAGACTAAGACAAATCTTAGCTATTAGAAATTGTATATTATTTGTATATATAACAATTGCATCACATAAAATACGTTTCTGAAAACAAATAATTTATTTTGTCAAATTACTAAGGAAATACTAAGGAATATTGGCATTCGGATATAAGTATTGGGTTGTCCGGAAAGTTCGTGCCGCAAAAGATTTAAATTTAAGAAATAAATGAAATTAAAAATTTAAATCTTCTGCGTTTCAATTTTCCTTCAAAATCGGCACGAACTTTCCGGACAATCCAATACTCATATCCGAATGCCAATATTCCTTAGTATTTCCTTAGTAATTTGACAAAATAAATTCCGGATAACCCAATATATAAATTGTACTTTTTTTTTCTACACTGATATTCAATGATATAATTCAATGATATTGTACTCATTAATATTAATTGTAATCGTTTATAAATTTAGAATTGTATAATCCTTTACAATTAATTTTAGAATTGTATAATCCTTTACATAATCCTCAAAAAACTTTTTTATAGTGATACTTGCGCTTAAAATATTTTTCATGTTCAATTAATACAGGATTTCACTGAGATTTAAAATGTAATGAAAAATAGGTTTATGTCTCCAAAAATCCACGAAAAAAATATTTTTAAATCGCACACAGAAGTATATCCTGTTAATATGGACTAGCCTAGACAATGGACTAGTTAATATGGATTAAACTTAACACAAACATTGTTCTTGTTTGGGAAGTACTGCATGAAATGTTGCGAACATATAACGATGCAGCTTGCACTCGTATCTCAAATGGAGGGGCTCATAAACATACGAAGGGTAAAAGCGAATGGTAAAAGCTCGCGTAAGGTACATGAAGTAAAGATTCAAATAATTAGCGTGAGCGAGTAGAGATAGCAGAAACTCATCCAACGAGAACAAGCTTGAACATTGCTGCACTTGAAAGTGCACGAAGGAATCTTTCGATTAGTATAAGAAATAAGAGTGACTGTGGTGGATCGAGGATCAGAGGACGAAAATCCGAGAGAGCAAAGGAGAAAGCCGTACGATTTATGATTCAACCCAGCTGGGAACCAAGCATAAGGTATGCGGTTCATAGTATGCTTTAACGCGCAAGAAAGATGCAATAAATTGTTCAACGTGTGCAAGTACGTCTCGAGTAGCCGGGAGTAAATGCGAGATTCGCCCTTAACGAGATTCAGTCGTCCGGTGATCTTCCTTTCTCTATACAAAGTTGACCTTCAAGAACGTAATAAACTCATTTTCTTCTGTCTGCGGTCAGCATGAATGCAAATTGTGGTCTAACACGTTTTTCAGATATCGATGATAAAAAATCAATTTCTTTTCTACGAGCAAAAAAATGCGAGCAAAAATGCAATTTCGTACTTATTGTATATTAAAAATAATAAGTGTAATTTTACGTTTGTCAGACATTGTCTACCTGTGAATAAATAAGAGTCTGTGAAAATTTAAACCTTCCTATTCTATACTTAACTTCTTTCTTAATTAATGTATCCTTAATAGATATGATCAGATCATTATGCAAATTTTTTTTTTGAAAAGCTAGCATCAAGTATCAATAATATTAGTTATAATATTTATTGTGTACGGGGGGGGGGCATGTGTAAAATAAGACAACTTGATCGTGGGGGGAAGGGGAGTGGGGGAGGGCAAAAAATTTCCAAAATTTATTTAATCTCCATATTAAAATCTCTTTATAACCGTACAAAATGATGAGCAACAATTATAAATATTTTATAAATATTTATAGTTTAATTTGAAACAAACTTAAACTCATAAAACAAAACTTAATGAAAAAATTTAATCTCGTAGAGCAAACGTTGAACTCCGAATTTTATTTTTTTTAATGAACTCATCCATAAGTGCATTAATATCTAAAATTTCATCAATTTCGGAGTGCACATGCAATATAGCTAAATTAAATATTACCGAATATACGAATATGAACGAATATGAAACAAAGATTACTAATCACTAAGATGTGCACGAAAAACTATAGACTAGCGCTCTTCGCGGAGAAAAATACAAACTACAAAAGAGAACTGCGTGAATATTTTATTATCGGTCGTGCTCGGTGTGTAATTGAAATTTTGATTGAAATAAAAGTTCCAAAAAAATTTAATTTAACACTATTTTTAGTTTAACACGTTATTTTCAAATTGTTTATGAAGAATTTTTCATATATGAAATTCTACACATAAAAATTCTGATATGGGGAATTCTACATATAAAAAATTCTGATATGTGGAATACTCCACAAAAATCGCCACCTATGATTGTATTTTTTAAATACACTTAAATACGGATATGTAAAAATCACTTAATTTTTGTAACTATAAAAATAATGAAAATTATATAAGACATAAACAACTCATCGTGTGAAGCAAATGTATTTAGTTGCGGTCAAATTTATGTTGCATTTTCTCGAGTAACATCTTTAGATGGATTGTATTTGATTAATTATGATCCCTCATCTATAATAGCTAATGAAGAAGCAAATATTGAATACAATTGGCTAAAACGACTACATAAACCAGAAGCACAAACTATATTACTATTAAAAGAGCATTATCGTAAAATTAAAGATATGCCATGAAAATAATAGCTTCCGTTCAATAGTCAGATCAAAAAATTTAATGAAGTACTGCTTCTTGGATTATACGTGATTTTCAAAATACTGACAAAGTTTCTCCGAGAGTCGCTACCGGGCTATGCTAATGCTACATTACAATGTTTATTTCAATGTAATATTTAAATATTATTAGAAAACAATTATTTAATTTTGATAAACTAAATATTTTAAGTATATTAGTGCATCGATATGAAAATGGAATATATAATTTGAATACCTATGCAGTACGAGAATATCTAGGAAAGAATTTTTCGATTGGTATTAAACAAGATGCATTTGATTTTCTTGTAGCTTTTTGTATTAAATATGATTTTATAAAAAAAATTAGTTGAGCATCAAATTATTTCTACTTGTCCATGTATAATGTGTGGTAATACAAAAGTTACTATTAATAATAATTTTATTCTCTCAATTTTTGTTAACAATTCAAACAAGAAAAGTTTCAATCTTAACGACTTACTAAATACTTCATTTTCATATTGGATTAAATTAAATGACAAATTATTATTATGTGAATGTTGTGAAGGAAATGATACGTTATTTAAAAACGAAATAACATTGACAAAACAGATAATTATTATCCATTTAATTTCATTTTCAAAATGAAATATTAGTGAAGGTAGCATAAAAAATTAATTTATGTGCTCTTCCAACAAGTCAAATATAATTGGACAGTTGTATAAAGTTATGAATGCTATATTTCATTATGGTTCATGTATCGAAAACGATCATTTTATAAATATGTATAGGAAAGATTCATCTTGGGAAGATTCGAGAATTTGCTCGCACATATGAACACACTCATCATCTCATTATATTTTGAGATCTAGCAGCCAAGTTTTCTTACATAAAAAATTTTGTTATTTTAATAAAATTTTCTCATTTTATAATGCTTCGTCTTTAATTTTTTGAGATTAAATGTTATATTCCATTGCAAATATAAAAGACTTTTGAACAGAAAGATAAAGGTACGTATCACTTTTTCTCATTAATTAAATGTTATAAAATATATATTGCAATAAAATATATATTTCTTTTTGCAATTGATGCAATTTAAAGATTGTATTTCATTTTTTTTATTATTTACGTTTTTTTTTAGTTTGTTTAACAATTTTTTATAATTATATAAAACACAAACGACTCATCGTGTGAAGCAAAGGATTGGAGAATCGTCGTGTATACTAAGTGTATACTAGTTAATTTAAATATTCTCATAAGATGATAATAGAATTTTACATATACATATATGTAAAATAGAAAAATAATTAACCGGTGTTTTTTATTTGTTACTCAATCAATTTTTTTCTCGCTATTATCTCGATGTACCAACTCTGAACGTGACATGCAAAACATGAGTGACGCAATTCCTGCAATCGTCGTTATATGCGACGAAATGTATCGCCGTAGCGCATACATCAACGATTTATCGTTCAATCTAGTCCTCTCAAAAGTTTATCGTGCTCGCGAAAAAGGCGTTTTGACGAATCGCGATTCACTAATTTGAATCAGTCATAAAGCTGACATTCACTCATGAATGTTAATGGAACAGGTTAATATGATGATTTATCCTGATTCAACGCGAATGCAGACAAATTCTTTCGCTCCACCTCTCGAGCTTCGATTAAGTCAAATTTAAACGCGCTGTCAACTACAGTTTTCCAGACAGGGATTTAAGGCATTCGATTATTCGCTCGGTCGACAATTCAAATTTCTACATTCGATTTCTCCTCATCCGAATTGGAATTTACATTTCGTAACTCTCGATAGTTTTGAAATCTCAAAACATCATTCGAGAACGATGGCTGATGCAATAATAATTGTTTAATGAAATTATTCGTGACACTGTAAAATACATTATTATCTATTTATTAATAAAAAATGTCTTACTTTTGTACATTTTTCTGCATTTGACTAATATCTGTTAATAAGAGCCTTTGAATTTTATTCGCGATAAAGATCGAATGAACAAAGTCACAATTATCACGAAAAAGATCTAAGATCTCTAATAAGAGTACCATCTTAAGAACATCTTAAAACTACAAAGAAATTCTTTTAACAATATAAGTTGTTATTAATTACATGTAAAATTCAAGAACATAAATCAAGAACATAAAGTGTTGTAAATAAAATTCTTAGATAATAAGATCATTATACATATAATTTATGTAAATAACTTATTCGCTTTCTCTCTCTTTTATTTTCTCCCTTTTTTTAACCCCCTTTCCCTTTCCATTACATAAATTATCATATATTTTATCCGAAAAAACATCGACCCTTAATCTGCTAAAAATTAGAATAAAACAGATTTTAATCCAAATTCGTTCACGAATAAAAATATTTTTAAAGCATTTGACGTGAAACAGTTTCCAAAAATGTAGTAAAATCTTCTTCAGGTTCCAAATGCAAAAGTCGACAGGATACATTCCACAATTTTTCGGGATATTGATGTTTGTTTGCTTTTCGATATGGGGTGGTAACACCGCAATTTCTAAATATAAAAAAAGATAATACGAAATTGAATATAAATTGTATATACATTGTACATCAAAAAGTTTTTTTTCGAAATATCTTAAAGATTTTTCGCGTTGAATAGTGCCGTCGTATGAATTTGCGTAATATATCAGGATTTTTAGTAAATTGAGGTGGTTTTTGTTTATTAAAGATCTTGATGTACTATGCAAATTCTGATGATGTATTCATCGCAAAAAAATTTTCGAGATGTGACACTTCGAAAAGAAAAAAAGTTATTTTTTGTTGAACGGCGTAATTATATAGAAGGTTAACATTCAAACAGTCATAACTTGATGAAAATAAATCGTACTATTACGAATAAAAACTCATTTGAAAGATTTTAAGTTGTATTTTCAGATGCTGTAAGATTTGTTTAAATTTTTAACTACTAAATTAACAACTCTAATAATTTAAGTATTTGCAACTAATTTTACGAAGTAATAAGAACTAAAGTAGTATTGAATACTATATTTTTATAGTACTATACTATATTTTTATAGTATTCGGTACTACTTTAGTTCTTTTTACTTTTTAAAATTAGTTGCAAATATTTAAATTTTAAAGTTACTTCATACAATAGTTGCCATAACAATTTTTTTTCTCAATAAACTAAGTACTTATTTGTGCTAAAAAATGTTGAAAATCTAAAAGCGTTCTTTGATTCATCTTCTTTCATTTCATTTCAATTAAATATTTGTGAATTATATTTTATCACTTTGTAAATATATATTAATTAAATATTATATTAACAATCGCGGAACTTCATATAGACAATTTACTTATATTTGATTTATTCTTAAAACTACAAAATGATTTATTTTAGTATGATAGATTCTTACGAGTAATAAAGTCCAGTCTCATTGGCTACCTCTTCATCTATGCAACAATATATTGTTGTTTGCGCTCCTTGTTCAGCATTTTTATAAAACAATTGCGCAAATAAAGTGTAACAAAGAGTTGCACCTGGAAATATTGTATTACTACTATACCGTGATATGTCAGTTGGTATAAGACCAGGATGTAAAGAATATACGTTTATTCCGTGGATGTTAGCTGCTACAAACAGAAAAATCTTGTGTAAAAATTTTTTGCATATTTTTTCATTACATAAATCATTAACATTTATTAATAGTTTTTAAATATAGATAAAAGAGAAAGTTGAAGATCCTTGATAAAAAATTTGTATAAATATGTATAAATATACAAGTGTAAAAAAAATTACTCATATATAATTATGCAATTTTATATATAATTTTATATATAATTT